AACTTCTGATTTGTCATTCTATTGAATATTATACCGTAGTCGGTCCTGATTCTCAGTCTTATACATCCACGGACTATCTTTGAAGACTCATGCCGATGAGCTTTGATTACATGTTGCCTTTGAATGATAACATAAAACGAATCACAACAGTAACACCATCAAATATCGTAGAATTTCTTACAAACAAAGTAGCAGTGTCCCTAATGGAATCTTTTAAATCCATCCCCGAATTTCACATTCTTTCCCCATTCAGCACCAACCTATTAAAATACCAATCATCCCTTTGATTTCAAGGACTTGATTAACATGCGACAAATGCGAAAAAAAGAACATTAACCGACTGAAATTATACGTTTATCGTAAGTCCAAGGGCTTCATTCATAATTTACTTTTTTTGTATATATAAATCCGTTTTTGTACATTTTGAGTGAGACTTCTATTATCTGTTTTGAAGTGGCTGTGATTAACGACGACAAAAAAGAGTCTTAGGTCAGGCAGCTTCTAAATCGATCTTGGTTTCAAATCGGTACCCTCAAAACTGGGATGGTCAGTCCCGACCAAAAATCGTAGGACCAATTTAGGCCCGCTTACCAGTCCAATCAAACTGGTCCCAATCCGATCTCGGGTCTTGCCCGGTTTAAAACAAAAATATATTTTTTAAAATAATATTTTTACACAAAAAATGTCATACATGTTTTTATAATTATGATTTTCAAAATTTAGTATTAAAATACACTCTAAATAATACATTTAAGTAGAAAAAACCTTTGTAAGACTTAAAAATCTTGAATTATAATTTCTAAAACTTATTTTTTTTTAAATCGAGCTTATACATATTCAGTCCAGATCCTAAGTAAGAGCTTGAAATTCAATAAAATATGTAACCAGTTGAGGATTGTCACACAATGTTAAGTCCCTACCAATTTCAATCGATCCGAGATTGATTAATAGGGTTGTAAACAAACCGAACGAACACGAACAAAGGCTTGTTCATGTTCGTTCGTTTAACTTGACCGAACAAACGAACGGTAAACGAACGAAAATCTTTATGTTCGTGTTTGTTTAGAAATCAGGTGTGTTCGTGTTCGTGTTCATTTATGTTCGTTCGTTAATCGTTAACATGCTAAACGAACGTAAACGAAACATAAATGAACATAAATAAATATTATTTGAATTCAAGTAAATAAACAAAATATTATATATTAAATTTAATATATAAACGAACAGATATAAATGAACGTAAACGGACGGTAAATGAACGAACGTTCACGAACATAAATGAACGAACGTGACTCTTGTTCATGTTCGTTCGTTTAACTAAACGAACAAAAAAATTGTTCATGTCCGTTTATTTATTAAATAAACGAACTTCCCGTTGAACGGTTTACGAACGATTCTTTGATCGTTCGGTTCGTTTACAGCCCTACTGATTACGCCTAATTTATCAGTCCAAGGCTGATTGCCACCTAAGCCACAACTCAAACACTTAGCCAAACAGATGGATTATACATGGCGGTTACACATGCTGAATCCTTCCTCCATTATTTCCAAAATAAGTATTATTTCTAATTTAATTTGTCTAAAAATAAGTGCTTAATTTAAAAAATGTTTAATATTACAAAATAAATGCATAGTTTCCTGTTCTCTTTTTAATTATGAGATGGATAAATTTATTAATTGCTGTATTATTAATGGTAGGACTTTCATTTAGGGGCTGTTTACCCAAATGTTTACCCGGTAAGTACTTACCTATAGGAGTCAATACTATAATTTATTTTGATTAGTAAGATTTTAGTACATCAAAACATATTGAATGCAACAACTTACCGGGTAAGCGCTTATCTGGGTAAGAGTCGTAATCTTCACTTACCGGGTAAGACTCTCCATCCTTCTCATCGCTCTTACCCGGTAAGATTCTTGGCCATTGTCATGTTCATCCGATAAAGAAATATATCCAGTAAGCACTTTCCAAGTAATTGTTTAGTAAACAACCCTTTAATTTACTAAAACTGTAATAATTACACTTTTCTAAAATTATACGCATTTTTCATTGTGTAGACATTAATTTAATAAGTGAAAAAAATATATATAATGTTATTTCTAAATTTAGTATAAACTATATTAAAATGAAATATTTTGTTTCGGTTTTACTTTAAGAAACTTATTTCGAAAAACATGTTATGCGGGTGAAATATGATTATGACCATCGCAAAATTACGGTATATAAACCACAAGGATGGTGCTTGATTGGTTTGAGCTTGACTCCAAAGGTCAAAAGTACCTGGAGGTCCCAGGTTCAAATCCAAGGAAGAATAAAAACCCCCTTGTGGCTACGTAGGTTCAAATGCGGTGACTCTGAGCTATCTGCAAAGTAGGTGGTCGTCCTGAGATTAGTCGGCTCGCATATCGGGTTGGATATCCAGGTTAATAAACAAAATTACGGTATATAGAACACTTAAAAGTTTCTTAAAATAAGCCATTTAAAAGTTTCAGCTCAAGGATCGATTTAGGAGACGACACGAAACTCGGTAGGGACCGCTAGATGCACAAGGACTGATTAAAACTCTTACTTTGGTCCAATCCCTCGAAAGCCAGTTCAACAGGGGAAAAAATCCAGTACTTCTAATGATAAGCTTGAAAATAGGATCGAACCAGTCTCGTCTTAAACAATCATAATACTATGTTACAGGTTAAGCCCCGTGACCTAACTCCATTAACTTTTTATCTTTTTAGGTTGAGTTTTGCTTTTTCCATATGCAAGTTTATAAACATGATATACAATTATGTAAGCATTTAAACGAACAAAAACAAAACCTAACACCGTCCTTCGTCATCAACCCTCCCCATCTTCGTTTACACCCCATTCTCTCACGACGTACCCTTCTTCGGGGTCCTCCTCCTTAGGCATGGGAATGGACCCGACCCATCGGGGAACCCGGTCCACCCGCCCCGGTCGGGGACGGGGATTCCCCGCTAAATCGGGGATGGGGACGAGGACGGGTATGATACTCCCCACCCCGTCCCGCACCCGTTATATATATATATCATGATAAAAAATTAAAATTTTAAATTTACAATTTCAAAGAACACATGTGAACAAAGGGGAAAAAATATTTAGGTAATTTTCTTTTTTATGTAACTCCCATATCATTAATTGGGAGTTACAAAATCAAAAAATTTCATTATTTTTGTCAATTTATTGTTGTTAATGTAAGAACCATATGAACACACAGACACACACACATACACACACACACACACACACACACACACATATATATATATATATATATATGAACCATTGTGTCAAATACGAACAAAAATTGACATATATATGAACTTGGACTGTATAACATTTATGAACACACTATTAATATAATAAGAATAGTTGTTACACGAAAGTAAATAAATAAAAAAGCAGGTATGAACACAATATGAACAGTTTGTGAACAATAGTTACTTCATTATGAACACATTCAGGAGCAAGCCAATGTTGATATATGCAGCTAGTGTACATATGAACACAATATGAACAGTTTGTGAACAATAGTTCCTTCATTATGAACACATTCAGRAGCAAGYCAATGTTGAGATATGCAGCTAKTGTACATGTGAACACAATATGAACACTTGTGAACAATTCTTTAACAATTACATATGAATTCGAATTCCGATTGTAGTCGTAGACGATTTTAACCTTTTCATTCTCATTGTTGTCGATCTGTTTTCCAATAGGTTTATCCATGTTACTCGGACGATATCGAAATCTTTACAATCGGAAATTCTTTAACAATTATAAAATCAATATCATTATGAATAGAATAAATCGAAATTACAAAACATGAACACGTATAAAAAAATCAATATTACATAATCATCAATTATTGAGATTTTTAGATTTGTAACTCCCAATTAATGATTTGGGAGTTACATAAATGACAAATTACTTAATTACCATTGTCATTAATATATGAGTTATATATGAATATAAAGAAAAGATGAAATATGATTGGTTGAGCTTGGTTAACAAAGTTAACACAAAAATCTTGGTTAGTATTTGAACCAACCCCTACATACATATATATGTGTATATATTATTTATTTCAACTAAAGCGGTAGTTCATAATTTATTATTTCCTAACTAGGTTTATAATCTAAATTGTTTTTTTTATGTTAATATGTAATATTTTGGATGACAAGTCAAAATACAATTACTCGATAAGTTTTATATATTACTCAATATAATTTTATATTAGTCAATATCTTTTGGTACATGCGACTTTAAGTTTTTTTTGGATTTAATTGAACTTTTTTGGTTTTAGGTTATTAGTTCTTATATGATGTTGTGKTTTTTTTTGTATTAAATTAAATTCATTTTGGTTTTAGGTTTATTGAAAATGTTTGAGATTTAAACATGTATGGTCTCTTACATATTTAATTTAAAATAACTCATATAAACGGGAAAAAAATCCTCGTTTCCCCGTTGGGGATCCCCGTTCCCTGTTGGGGATGGAGATGAAGATGTGATTATATTCCCCGACGGGGATGAGGACGGAGACGGGGATAGAGATAAATAGTCGGGGACGGGGATTGAGGTCCCCGCCCTATTCCTATGCCTACTCTTCCTCTTTCGATGATACATTTCTTTTCCAGTTTTCCTTAAAAATATCAGTTTTTTTAAATGCTCTATTACACTTGTTTAGAGACATATATTTAAATAACCAAAACGTCCTTACATGAAGCCAAATAACGAAAGTACGTTAAGAGAGTTAGGTCTGGAGACCCCATCTAAAACGAGACGAGATGAGACGGGACAAAATAAGACAGAACGGAACGGAACTGAACGGGAAGGATCCCTAGCTCATTTTTGGCTTGGTTGTTACGGGGCAAGGTCAAATTTGTAATTAGCGGTTACCTCCTCCGTCGGACCTACTCATCCCCCCCCCCCCCCCCCCCCCCCAAAAAAAAAAAAAAACCCACCGTAATATGTCCACTAACCACCAAAATGCACTAAGAACAGCCAAGAGTAGTAGCGATATTTTCGCCTTCCTAATCCCTTTTTCTCTCATTCCACCATGTTCTTCCAAAGATTCTTTGCAATGGCGAATTACAGCTTTTCATCATCACCATCATCTTCCTCTAAAACCTCGATACAAGCTATATACGACATCTGCAAGAAGAATTTGACGCCCATAAGCGCACCGCCTCCTGAAGTCATCCATGAGCTCTCTTCTCTACTCGGTATTTGTTCTTCCCTAATTTCAACTTTCGCGGACAATTTGATGTGATTTATTTTGGTGCAGATTGTAGTATACAGCGTTAATGCCAATCTGAAGTTCTGAACTTCGAATAGTTTAATAAAAAAATTAACTTTTCTTTTTCCCGTTGGAGATTGTTTCGACTATATTGATTCGTTTAACAGCTATAACTCGGCCGCTGGTGTGGAAATTGCAGCGAAATCCACATCAATTTTACGTTTGAAACGTACTAGGTTTTCAATTTAAAGAATATTGCACTAACAGAAAAAATGAAAAGGAGGGAGTAGAGAGTAGTTATCAGCCACCATTTTTCCTTTTAATAATGATTTAAACATGAAAAAGGAGAGGAGAAGGAAATTCTGTGAAAGTTATAAGCTCTTAGCTCTAAGTGAGGTTCAATTTGAAACGTGTATCTTTTTTCATCATTGTCGATGCGTTTGCTGAAAAGGTTCTTGAATTATGGAAGTTTGAATCATTCAATCAGGTCCATGTAGATAGGAAAATCAGGTTTGCAATAACCTATTACATGAATAAACCGAACCTTGGTATGAAAAGGGTTACATATGTACATGAATAATGTTGGTCGTTATAGTATCAGAGTATTTGGTTAATCAACTTGATTGGTTAAAACTGTGTCCAGCCACCTAAGCAGTATCCAACATCCTCTTATATCAACTAATTAAGTAAAATATATGCAGTATCTTAGCAGATGCTTGGGTCTAAAATTAGCAATGATGGACGCTTCTATGTTTCTAACTTTCTCCACAGCCTGTTGAACTTGTGAAACTTGTCAATTGCTCTGATTTGGCTGTGGAGAAAGTTAGAACCTGGATGATGAACTCAGTGACTGTGGATTACTAATCCGTCCTGAAATGAAAATTATATCAATTAGTTGTCTCATTTTATTGTATACTATCCTCCAAACCTGAGTGGAGAATGGGGAGGTCTGGTAAAGGATAAAGTATGGATTACTCAGTAACGGTGATCTTAGATTTGAAGCCCTAATCATGTGCATGATTCTCTCTGATGTGGGATGAAGAGAATAAACAGAATCCCATATGATTGTCATTTACTCTACCTCCTTCTCTTCATCATGCATGGGCCCTCTTGGCTTTCAGAGCCCATATGATTGAAGCTCATACACTTGTTTATCTTTTGTTTCGAAGGCAAACCTCGTCTCATGCAAGCATATTACGAACTATAGAGAGTAGACTCTGGAACTTCTTATTAAACAAAGGAACAAATTACAGAGATATATACAAATCCTACCACACCAAAATAACAAACAGACAGACCTGGAACTAAAATTACATAATTGACCTTTCACTATAATATGCCCCCCTCAAGATGAGCTGGGCGAATGAATATTCGTTAAAGCCATCTTGTTCATCATAGGAACCAATTTTAGAACGAGGCAGAGGCTTAGTGAACATATCGGCTAGTTGAAAATCTGACTGGATGAACATCCGACGAATGGTTTTATCATTGACCTTCTCCCTTATGAAATGATAATCGATATCAATGTGTCTAGTTCCTTCTTGATAGGTAGGATTCAAGGCAATTTGAAGGGCAGAGTTATTATCATAAAACAACAAAACAGAGTGTTTTTGAAACACACCAAAATCTTTCAAAAGCTGTCTGATCCAGACTATTTCACAAGCTGTGGTTGCCATGGCTCTGTATTCAGCTTCGGTAGATGATCTGGAAACTGTAGGCTGCTTCTTTGACTTCCATGGAATTAGCGAATCTCCCAAAAATATGCAATAACCAGGTACTGTTAATCTGGAATCAACACATTTCCCCCAATTAGAATCACAATATGCTTGAATCTTGTAAGAAGACTTGACAGAGAACAGAACTCCTTGACCAGGATTTTGTTTTAGATGAGGAGTCCTTGGGCTTGAAATAAACTGAGATAGCTTGTGGACGGCAAAGGAAATATCCGGTCTTGTCACAATAAGATACAGAAGTCTACCAATCAATCTTCTGTATTGTGAAATATTTTCTAGAATATCCCCATCTCTTTCCATTGGTGTCTTAGAGGGCTTTAGCTGCAAGTAAACCAACATCTTCCAACAATTGCAAGATATAATATTATGAACTGTAGAGAGTAGACTCTGGAACTTCTTATTAAACAAAGAAACAAATTACAGAGATATATACAAAGCCTACCACACCAAAATAACAAACAGACAGACCTAGAACTAAAATTACATATTGACCTTTCACTCTAATAAAGCATGTCAATTGAGCCTTGACGTTATTCAAAATTGCACCTGACTCACTGTAGATACGTCCTTCAGACCAGGTCTATGGTTGTCTACGAGTGCATTCTTTGAAAGGACAGACTGCATGGAAACATTCTATGTTGTTGAGAATATAGTTCAAAGGTTGTAGTCTTCGTTGTCAAAAGCATGCGCCTATGCAGACAATGCTGGTGGAACAGTTATGGGGTTTGGTTAGAAAAGGCTCACCTTAGATGGGGAGCATGCTCCTAGACTCCTAGTCATGGTTTGGCCAGAGGTGCATTTTTGGTGGTTATGTTTTGGCCTAAATTATTTTTTGCATGATGTAAGTTAAAAACTTAAAATAAACACAAGTAGTCAGACTATTGATCCGACCTCTGCTAAATTCTTTTCTTGCAGTTCCATCGCTCTTTCTTTTCTGCTTCCCTTTTCTTGTACTATGACCTAGTAAATCTTCTCTAATTGTGTTGTTAATTTATGACTTCAGTAGGTGAAAAGGATGGCTATATGTGTGAGACATAGTTACACCAATGATTGTTTTGGGTTCTCATATCCATGATGCTAGTGGGTTAATGATTAGCATGAACTATTTTTAGTTAGTTCACATGGCCTGCTTGTCACTTCATCAAGGCAAGAATGTATTAGCTTTATTCATGCTCGCACCTTATTATATGAATGGTACCTGCAGAGAATTAAAACATAAGATTCCTGTGGTATGGGTTTATCTAGTATACAGGTCCTTCCAATATCGTCTTCACTGAACAGAAGAGAATGTTGTTCTGAGGATAGTTGTCAAGCCTCACATATAACCAAACATTGCTTTAGTATTTTGGTTAAATGTATTTGGAGAAAGGGGCACAAGACTAGGACCTTGCATCATTATTGCAGCCAAAGGAGAGGCACAACCATCAGGCTATCACCTCGATGTTAAATCTGGAGAATTCTTTTCCAGCATTAACTCGGCTTATGGTTGTTAAAAGTTAAAATGTCAAAACGTATTTAGACTAGGAATAGCTAGATAAGCTTGCTCATCTCATAAAGACAGAGTGGCTAAAGTGGAGGGCTACCATGACTGTGTTCTGTGACAAGAAGGTTCCATGAAAACTGAAGGGCAAATTCTACTAGGTAGCCATCAGACCAACTATGTTGTATGGGTCAGAGTGTCGGGCAACAACCATGAGAGAAATTTGGAAGTTGCAGAATTGAGGATGCTAAGATGAATTTGTGGTGGGACCACCAGGAGAGGATCCAAACAAGGTCTTCTGGTGGAGTTAGGGAGTTGCGCGTGACCGCGTGCCTATCATAGATAAGTTGAGAGATGGAAGATTTTGGTGGTTTGGAAACTTCCGCCGGAGATAAATGGTGGCTCTGTAGGGAGGGTAGAAAGCGTCACAGTTGAAAGGGGCGAGGAGGAGGGGCGGGCCGGGGAGGATGTGGGATGAGCAACTTAGATGCAACCTTAAGCATTTTCGAGTACATGGCTTGTGATGGGGGTTCTTGCCTTCTTGGAGGCACCATACTAGGGTAGCAAACTAAGGGGGCTGTAGCTAGCATAAATGAGAGGAAGGGAGTTGGAGAGGTATTTAGAGAGGGGATAGGGTTGGGGAGCCAACAAATAGGTTACCAAAGTCCTAAGATAGACCAGGGGTTGTGTAGTTTTTTTTTTCTTACCCTTGCTATGTTTCTTTGTACATGCTTTTGTTTTTATGTTGTTACTTGCTTTTAAATAGTCTTGATGGCGTTTGGTTCGCAGAATGTTTTTGGATGGAATGGAATTTGTTAAAGGAATTGGAATGAAATGTTGTTAGGTTTGACCACATGTTTGGTTGGCAAACATTGGAATAAAATCTGTTATGGAATTGGAATCTGTCTGTTTGGTTCACATAATGTAGCTTTGGAATTGTAATGAAATATTGGTAAATGACCAAAATACCCTTTTTTGAAAATTTTAACTTTTTAAAACTAAAAAAATACTTTAATAAAACAATTATTTAATATGTAAAACAATATAAAATACATAACCCAAATATAACAATAAGCCAAACGATGTTACTTAATCGATGGTGGTCGACGGTGGTTCAGATAGTGGTGGTCGACGGTAGTTCAGATCGGTGGTGGTCCGTAATGGTTCAGATGGTGATGGTTGGCAGTGGTTCAGATCGATGGTTTCCCGCGGTGGTTCAGATGGACGGTGGAGGCGGTGGTTCAGATCGGTGGTTGTTCAAATAGTTGGTGGTCGGTGGTGTCTGGTGGTGATTCAGATCGGTGGTAGTCGCTAGTGGTTCAGATCGGTGGTGGTCCGTGGTGGTTCAGGTGGCGGTGGTCAGATGTGGTTCAGATCGGCGGTGGTTCATGTCGGTGATGGATCAAATCGGTGGTGGTTCAGATGGCGATGGTCGACAGTGGTTCAGATCAGATTGGTGGTGGTCCATGGTGGTTCAGATGGCGGTAATCAACGGTGATTCAGATTGGTGGTGGTTCAGATCGACGGTGGCTAGCGGTGGTTCAGATCGAGAGTGGTAGGCGGTGGTTTAGATCAGTGGTGGTCGGCAGTGGTTCTAATCAGTGGTGATCTAAAAGGAGTCAAAGTAAAGTAGTGGYTGCGGCGCGTTGAGGCACTTCTTCGATGGTTCCCGTACGCCCGGCCTGCCGGCCCGCTCTGAAGAATTCATGGGTCGGCAGGCGGGCGAGACAGAATGGGCGGGCACTACTAACCAAGCCAAGCCCAGTTCCCGCCGATAGGCGCTGGTAGCTTGCTTCCAAGCCTTGCTTTATATGATAGTTGTGGGCCATGGTAGTCGACGGTGGTTCAGATGGCGATGGTTAGCGGTGGTTCAGATGGCGGTGGTCGGCGGTGGTCGGAGGTGGTCGACGATGGTCATATTGGGTTTTATGAGATTAGGGTATATTGAGTTAAGGACATATTTGGTATTATGAAGATAAAAAATTTCACTCCATCAAAATACCATGTAGTTGCTAAGAAATGTTAAATTCCTTTATTTGTGGAATTTGTAGGATTTTGAAGATTTCTTTCGTGAAAAAGAGTGAACCAAACGATGGAATGGAATTTGGTCAATGGAATTTAACATTCCAATTCCATAAGATTCTTTCAAAATCTGCGAACCAAACGCCCCTTTAGTTTTCCTTTTCAAATGTTCGCATTTCTTCATTTCTTGTCTTGATTTCACCACTTTCGATTTTTTTGCCTCTTTCAAACTCTTAAAACATTTTGGGCAAGCTCTCTTCATCTCCCACACTTTTCACAAGCCGGGGGACCTTAGAGAAACAACCACTCAATTCCTTGAGGTAGAAGACAAGGTTGCTTACATCCCACCCTCCGGATCCCACCTATGGGTGGGATATATCGGGCTCATTTGGTTTGGTTTACATTGGGAAGACCATTGAAATCTATTTGTTTGAAAGTTAAGCCTCAGAGATGGTTGGAACCTAATGCAACCTAAGATAGGTTTGGAGATAAAAAGGAAGCAAGGCCCTTAGTTGCATTAAGACACCTGGGCAGTACACCCTTCAGATAAATGAATTACTTCCCTACACATGTAATTTGCCTCTCACAGTTCCAGATCTTGGGAATTAAAACTCATGGTAATTAATTTCAATGTAATAATCTGCTGAAATTTAGGCCTTACACCATCAATATCCAAACTCCAAAGTAGCATGGTTTCCCTTCAAAATCCATCTCCTATGAACATACATAATTTAGAGTGACACTAAAGTGACAGAATGAAATCTTTTGCATGATGCTTTTTCTGTACGGGCAATATTGATCAATACTGTTTTGCAGATACAATTGGTCCTGCTGATGTTGGGCTGAAAGAAGAACACCAAGAGGATGATCGTGGTCATGGTCTTTCTACACCCAATACTTTCAATAGAGTAGATCGTTGGGCCCAACCAATAACATATGTCGATTTAAATGAAAGCCAGAGTTTTACTGTAAGCCCCATTCTTTTTTCCTTGTTTCTGGCTTGAAATTTGTCCATGCATTTACACGTTACGTTCATGCTGTTTTGTTTTGTGCTAACATATCAACACTAGACTACTAGATATTAAATTAGTAGATCTCAGTACTCCCTTCCCTCCACACACATGCTAACATTAACATTAGATTACTAGATCTTCCTATTATTGCCCCCCCCCCCCCTCTGGGTCCCTTCATTGCGTGGACACTGTGGTGGTTTACACACTCTCTCAAGTATCATGGCTGAGTTTGTTTTTTGTATGTATCTACACATGGATACCGATAGCTATAACATGAGCCAAAGAACTCTAAATGCTAGCACATGATCTTTTATTGCTTCAGTCAGATGTTTCAACTCAAGTTTCTGTATTATTCCTAGTCATATATGTTTCACAAATATAGACCATGGTTTTCATGATTATAACCATGGTGCAGAGGTCACTTGAGGGCGCCTCTCGTAAATGCATGCAACATTAATTTAGTCAATTTTTGCAATGGCATTCAGGCTTTCTTGTCTTACTGTTTTCTAACAAATCTCAGCTGGAATCTAGACCAAATGGCATCAATACCATAATAACTAGACTGGATAGAGATGAACTGCAGTAATCTTAAAGTTGAGAACCAAAAAACTCTGCCTACTTATACCCGCACATACATAAATAAATGGCACCATCAGTGTAAAGCCTCATGAGCTCATTGAACTGATTTGATCTGCTGGAGATACCCATAAGTACGAGGCTTCGAAAGGAGGCTTATTGCAAGGCTCGCACAAGGACTGTTCATGTTCATACTCATCCATTCTATTGCTAGATAACAATAGAAGAAAAGAAAAAATAACCAAAAAGAAAAAATAACCAAAAATTACTCACAATGAGCGTAGTAAGAGATCACTTTATCCTGTGACTCCAAGTTCTTAAGAGAGCTGTTTTCATTAGTGTTTCATGTACTTCAGTGGTGAGGTATTGATACGTCGTTGTGACTGTCTATACAGTTGGATTGATAGCAATGCACTTGAGTTTTCTTATATAGGCTAATAAATTGAATAACTGATCACCACACTTATCCTCTGAGAAATACCGTGAAAATGCTCTTGTAATACATGTTAAGAAGCTAACTAAAAGCAAGGCATCAGCAAATACAAGTCTTCAAACTTTTGTCGTCATTAGCTTCTTAAATTAAAAACTGATTTGTTTCAAGTGTACCCAGCAGAAAACCATGAAACTTAATGAACATCCTTCAGATATACCCTTTAAGTATTTCACATGCATTCCTTCAGGGTAACCCAAAAAATTGTAGATTTGTTAATTCAGTTCTGGATATCCGTATAATCTGTGTATTTTTATTTTCATAAATATATTTTATTAAGAGTAAAGAAAGTTTTTATGTGTTTATGTTTGGAGTCGGAATGTTACTAGTTCTTTTACCTTCTGAAGTCAAATATTTAAAATTTTCAAGTCCATCCTTGATTAAGATTTTCTGATTGTATGTTGTATGAGTATCAAGTGTGGTTATTCAAAAAAGACTAGAGGTTTGAAGCTGTTTGATAGTAATTTCAGGCACGTGCTTAAAGAAGATGATTTAAATGCAGATGTGCATGTTTTGCTTCCCCACTTCCTCAGTTATACCGCTCCATGATCATCCAGAAATGACCGTTCTGAGCAAGGTCTTGTATGGTTCTTTGCATGTGAAAGCTTATGATTGGGTTGAACCAGCTTGCATCAAGGATTCAAAGGAAACTGCTCGAGCTCCAGGTCCTATTCTACAACCTAGCATGGACTTTAGTTTCTGAAACTAATAAAAGTACCATTTTTTTCTCCCATTTGTTATTTTCATGTCATTTATAGCTTTTAGTACTCAACTAAACCAAACCAAACCAAACCAAATGAACCCAGTATATCCCCACCTGGAGGTGGGGTCTTGGGAGGGTAAGATGTACACAGACCTAACCTCTATCCCAAAGAGTAGAATGAGTTTCTAGTGCTAATGATTAGTTTTCTGATTTCATGATATAGATACAATAAAGCTCATGAATTTCTCTAGGAAGGCATGATTATAATTCTTCTATCGTCTTTACTTCTAGTTCGTCCTTAATCATTAGACACGTAATTAAGTCACCACCATCATATTCTGTACCTATTGATAAAATATTTCTGCTTTCAGTTCGTATGCATATAGAGAATCATTCAATGATTTGCAGGTCTAAAATTCTATAATTTGCATCATACCCTGTATGAACTTTGAAACTTCTTATTCCCAAATATTTGCACCACACCTTCCTAATCATGCTGACACATTATCACATCTCAACTGTTTGTACAAAAGCAAAATGTTGACAGGATTCCTCTAATAGTTAGGTTAGCGAAGTTGGTTGTCGACAAAGTCCTGTCAGCACCATGTAGTGCTTCAATTTTGTATCCAAAAACAGGAGGGAATCTCCATTGTTTCACTGCCATCACCTCTTGTGCTGTACTTGACATTCTCACACCACCATATGAAGAATCTGCAGGCAGAAAGTGTACTTACTACCGTGATTATCCGTACTCCAGTTTCCGTAAGTTTCTACCCTTTTTAGCACACCATGTGAATCTGATTTTGCACATAACTTGATACTTTGTTTCATGTATTTTCATGAGTTACTGTATAGGCTGTTAGACAACTGGTTATAGGGGTAGATATCGATGGAAAGAACTTGGATCATAATCAGGATCATTAACGGAATGACCGTCTGTAAGTAATATTTCGACCCTATTTCAGCCTATGGGTATCACGAAATTTACTAGGGATAATTCAAATACACACTCTAGATTTGAAGGCAAACTCGAGAGCAAAAACACACAGATGTTATGTTTTTCGTATGTTAAATGGAGATCAAAACCCCCTTAAATAGGTAGTTAATAGCCACTTTATTTGGGTGGTTAAGTAGTTATTTCAAGATAAGAACAATTATTAAATAACTACTAATGAAGAAGATCAATAAATGGTTACTGCACCAAAGTTCGGAAGGCGACTTGCCTTTTGAACCAAAGTCCCACATTCTGAAGCGAAGTTCAGGAAGGCTCCGGGCTAACATGCCTTCTGAATCCAAAACTTGTCTTCTGAAACTAGCTTTCTGAGTTTATACTTGAGAGCCATTTACCAAACGCTTAGCTATAAGCGCATACTGACAGGAGTCACCACTCTTACTACCTTATCGGGTCACATTCTTGGCCATCAAATAGGATTGTTGGTAAGCGTCTCTTTCAGTAAGAGCTAACCGGGTAAGAATCTTCTTCCTATCTTAGCGGGTAAGATTCTCGGTCCTGGCCATGCTCACTGACACCCGGTAAGCGCTTACTAGCAAGATCACCAACCATCACTTACCTTATCAGGGAACATTTTCGACCATCAAAACGGATTGTTGGCAAGTGTTTTTACCCGGTAAGCATTTCCCGGATAAGATTCTTGGTCCCTGGTTTTGCTATGGCTATGGCTTAACCAATAAACCCCATCGATCTCATGTAAATCACAACTACGCTAAAATGGTTGATGATGCTAAAATCACCAACATAGACTAATGGATAGAAAATTACATTTGTGAGAGTCAAAGTTGTTGGCTACTAATAACTTCAACCATGGTTTTAAGTCGATTTAGAGGTTATTGGGTCAACATGCTGCTTCGGGCTATGGGGCGTTACAATGTTGAACTCATTATTTCAACTGCAGGAAGTGGTGACGAGCCAGTTGCTGGAAAAGAAGATGAATACGCATGGCTCGAAGAGATAGAGACACCAGATGATCTCTATATGCGGCAGGGGATATATGGAGGACCACCTATTCAGATCTAGACTTCATTAATGGGCAAGTTCTCGCACGAACTCTGAACCGATGTGGCTCATTTGTTCAAATAGCAGCTAGCCTAGGACTAATGGGGTTTATTTAATCTCGTTCAGCACCCTAGGCCAAATTGGCTGTGTTAGCCCAGTTGACATGGTAAAAAGTAGAAACTGTCGTTAGTAAAATTAAAATATTACACCAAGCCATGGTTTACTTTGTCACTTTCTCTCTCTGGATGGAATGAATCCCACTTCCATTGGATCATCTGGAAGTATTAGAAGCTTTTAGGGGTCGTTTACCAAGCACTTACATGATAAGTGCTTACCGGTAAAATTTAACACTATTATTTACTTACCGGGTAAGATTTTAGTCTATCAAAACGACATTGTATGCAACAATTCACGCGGTAAGCGCTTACCGTGGTAAGAGTCGTCGTCCTCACTCATGGTCCTTGTCTCGCTCTTACCAGGTAAGATTCTTAGTCCTTACCATATTCATCCGTTGAGGTAATGTGACTTGGTAAGCGCTTACCCGGGTAAGTATTTTGGTAAACGGCCCCTTAGTTTTGGTGGTTGCTGTGGTCTTTGTTTACTTTCGTCAACCTGATGTTTATATGTCGATCAGGCTTTTTTGGGCCAGACTTTAACTGGGCCTTGAGAAAAAAGTTGGACTGATCAGGCTTTTAAGGCCTGACCCGGGCTTGCTAGTCGTGGGCTTTTTTGGATAATCTTAGGTGCGATTTGGTTCACAATTCAAAGGAATTGGAATGATCAATTTATTCACCCAAATTCCAATTCCTCTGTTTGGGGTTCACATATGAAATGGATGGAATCCTTTGAATTCCACTACTTAAAGAGTTGATCATTCCTTGGTACAAGTGAAGGAATTGAATTCCATGACTGCTCATCTCTTGCCCTTACCACGACCATGCTACTACTGTTACCGCCACGGCCCCTAAACCCCCCCCCCACTAGCACACCACTATTGTCGCCATTAAAACCGCCACCCACCCTAGCCGAACCCCTAACCAACCACTAACCACTATGCTACTAGTGTTGTCATCACACCCACCCACACCACCCTCATTACCCACCCCACATCCCTATTATACGACGACCATGCTACTATTGCCGCTGTCACGTTCCTACCCTAACCCCCCACCCACCACCACACCACTATTGTCGTCGTCACAACCGCCATTCACCCCCACCCTATGTTGGTTTGGGTTCTAATTTTAGGCTAATAAAGAGAAGGAGATTTCTACTACTTATTGCTTTCAAGGCGAGTGATCTCTATCCTTAAAGCAATTTCGCCCCCACCATATGTGCTTTGGGATTTTGGCGAATCGCTTCTCAAGATACAATGAAGCAACGTATGTAGAATGASTATCAACACCGCACTAGTGGTGATAATCCCGGTTGAACTATTGAGTTTCAAGGATTTCAAGAAACTAAGAAATTGTGTTTCTATAGCAACACAACCCTTAGCAATCTGGTATATAGAACAAAGAGAAGGTAGTCGATTTTGGTGTCTATTGATAGGTATATATAGGCATATGCGACAGCCCCTTGAACAGTCACCATTTAACTGTTTTGTGACAGTTTTAGTTATTCGCGACGTTTTGAACAGTCGCAACTGTTCCAACGGGTACCAACTGCGACGCTTGAACCGTCGTATCTGTTCACTATACCTTTTGAAGCGAACCGATATGGGTACCATCTGCGACGGACCGTCGTATCCGTTCACGAAGAGGCACCGTTTAATGGCCAACCGTCTCGTCTGTTCGTTTTAACCGTTAGCAACGAACATACAACGTTTTGAATCAAAAGGAGTAAGGCGGCTACAAGCGGCGAAGCGCAAAGCGCCACATTGCGCCCACGCCCACGGTCGCGCGCGCATGCACCCTTGTGGAAGCCCCATCATTTCCAATATATTAAATTAATATATAGAAAATGCTTCCCCTTATATACCCACTTGGATTTCACTCTTGCTCCTATGTGGGACAAGGAGAAACCCACCAAAATGATCTTTTCTCTTTTCCTAAAACCAAACCCAAAATTTTTTATTTTATTTTGAAAATATTCCCAACACCCTACCCCAACTCCCAACCCACCTTTAAGTGGGTGCATTGGGAATGGTAATAGGTGGAGATGCACAAAAAAGCCCATACTTGAAGCCCGGCCTGACCATTGCTCAGAAAAGCCTGGGCCTAACAAGCTCGAACCTAGACCCAGGTGAGGCCAGCCTGATCAAACCAACTATTTTTTCAAGTCTCGGTTAAAGTCCACACCAGAAAAGCCTGATTGGGTCTATTTCACACCAAGAGTCTGGCCCTAAAAAAACAGGACTTATACTTTTTCTTACCGAAAGCAGTGTATCTGTAATAACAACATGATAAAATTTACCCACTTTTAAGTAATCAGTAATCGTATTATATTGAATCAAACACCACTATTCATTTTCATTCGATATCAAGGTTTGGTTTGGGTTAAAATGAGGCAAGCTCAAAAACCAGATTCGGGTCGCAAGCCATTTTCCAGAATAATTGATTATAACATCTTAATAAATAAAATCTTTACATTTTAGCCCTTCAACTTTAGTTTAATTTTAATTATTAAAATTAATTCAATCATTTTATCATCTTTTGACAACCCATTTGGTTGGATGGAAACATCAAGAGAGAATCTTGAAAGAAAAAAATCAAAGAGCTATGAAAAAACATTTTAAAATAGATTTCAAATATAGATAATAAAACGATTGTTTTTTGGTATAATTTGTTTTGCTTTAATTTTTATTATAATTCATCTGTTTTTGATGTAAAAAATGGTGGGTGATATTTTTATTTTTTCTGATTTTCGATTTAAAAAGTGATTATTTAACTATATCCGTTGTATCATCTCAATCTAACGGTTTGAATAGATTCTTCGGTTCTTTTTCTAGGGTTCTCTCATGATATCATCCCTTGTTGGATTTGGTATTAAATAACTAAATAGCAAAGTTTTTTTTTTTTTTTTTTTTTTTTTTTTTTTTTTTTTTGTCATAAGTGGGTGTTTGTATTAGCTCGTGCATATATTGACAAAAATCTCATGGACTCTGGAGAAGAGATAAGAAAATCCCCCAGTGATCTTGAAGGAACTTAAACTGGTAACCTTTGGAGAGGAACCCGAAAGGCTTAAGCCTTGTTGGCACTAGGCTAACCCTGGTTGCATCCTTAGATCATTTTCAGTTCGAGTGGTGTTTGAAAATTTTTCGGTGTCTTTTACACCTATTATCCCTTCATTGTAAACACATGTTACTTCTAAATTGCCATAAAATGGTCTCGTGCTTTCAATTGAGCGTTGTTGAGCATGTACTTGATGCACAAAGGTTACCATCGTCAATTCCTAAACCTTTAGTAGTTTTAGACCAGAGAATTATGGGGTGTTTAGTATAGCGACTTCAATAAGCTTTTAGTGTTCGACATTAAATGAATTGTGATTTTTATTTTTTGATTATTAAGATTCAGAATAACCAGATTTGAAGGAACGTGTAAAAATTGATTAATGAAAATGAGAATGCAGGAGAATGAGAATAGTAACGAGTAGCGTAACCGTATTGATGCTTTTGGTCAAACTAATATAATCAATGAAAAATTGTTTTATATAATATTTTTACTAGTTGCGTACCCGCACAATACGGCGGGAGCCGTGAATTTTAACGGTTTTGAAGTTTCACTGGTTTAATTAGAGAAGATTTAACGATGATATAAGTTACACTTAGTCTTTACATATTAATAAAATTTGAATAAATAAGAGTTATGGTTCCAATTACAGTCTTTTGTATGACAATTTAAAATCTAATATATTTAAAATCCAACATATTTAAACGACTCCACAAATGTGTTCGATTTATACCAAGAGCAAAGAATCAAGAGATCGAGAGCGAGACCAAGAGTTCTAGAACAATTGAATGAGAGAACTTTTAATAACTCATGGTGAATATCAATTTGAATATCACACTGGGGTATGGGGAGAAGACATAGAGGTTTGAGAGAGTGAAGACATGAATGAAATGTGTCAAAAGTATCTTGGGAACATAAAAACAAAAGATAATAATATGCATTGATAACTTGTATTATGAGTTGTAGATTAAGAGATTTTAAAACTGAATGCAAAGTAGTAGTACTTAATGCATTATGAGTTGTTTTTAAGACTTTGTGCATTAAAAATTGTTTTTAAGACTTTTGATAAATCTAGTTTATAAGGTAGTATAGATTACAAATATATTTTCATCCAACTTGAAAATGTAAAATATGTTCCATTCAATGTGAAGATAGAAAATACGTTTCATTCAACATCGAGAGATGGACTGAACGGGAATAAAGTTTCCATTGACCCAATGTAGTCGGATATGAAAATTAATGGGTTTGAGATAATGAGCACATCATATTTTTATCAAACCAAACCACATTTTTTTATCATTTCATTCCTATTCCTTATCCCTCAATAATCCAACCAAACACCCTAACTATTTTCTGCTATAATCACTCACATTCCATAGAATGTACAAAGGTGGTTACAGGCATCCGATTTGGCCATGAAAGTAGTTTCAAACTTTGAAGTTGCCTGACGGCTATAAAGACATTTCTAGTTTTCTTAGGCATGTTTGTTAACTTATTTGGTTAATTATACATGACTATTTGGTAGTAGCTTAATGATATAGAAAGTGGTTTATTCAGTAAGTTTTATGCCGAAAGTCAAGATTTTTTTAAACTTGCCCCTCCTAATTAAAGAACATGGTCCTTCCATCTATTTAAAAAACCATTCGAAACAAAAACATTTCCAATCCATACAGATATTATTTCATACAAACAACTTTATCCACTCATGACTTAATAAAAAATCAATCAAACAATCCGTTATTCATCTCCAACGAAAGGGTGTAATACAAAATTTGTTGAGATGCTATTTGCAAATTGGTAAAATTAGTTTCTTAAAGATAGTTGAAACGAAAATGGTAAAATGATGTTAACATACCACCAATTTGATGTTTCTATGTTATCGTTGGAGTTGGCCATAAAATGGGCAACTAATTTCAGAGAAAATTCTATATTCAACTTCTTTTATACTTCTATAACCAACTTGGTTGTAAATCTTTTCTTTTATACTTCTTTTTTATAACTAATTTCAGGCAAAATTCCTCATGACTTTTGAAGATATGAGTTAGAGAATATCAGTGGCCATCAATTGTAGTTCTACGACCACATCTTACATTGACTAATTTCACGGGGCTCCGAAGATAGCAACCAGGTAAAAATTGCAGTGACTTTGAAGATAAAACCCCTAGTGGCCCTAAGAAAACTTGCACCGTCTTACATGATGTCTCACAAAGGGCAACGGGTTTCTATGAGGTTGGATTGAGTTCAACTGACAATTTATTTTACAACTCGATTAGGCTTCAGGTTGGGTTGGTCGGGTTTTTGTGCACCCCTACCTAAGATTCAAAGCATACATAACATGCAAAAAAATGCTTTATTCAAAAACGACAGTCGATTCTTCTATTGTTCGGTTCTAATTCACAATGCCTACAACACTCGGTAAAATTTTGTTACTTTCGAAAATGGTAGAAGCTTACAAAACAAAAGTTCCCTTTGCAGAGCCTGTTGGCAATTTTGCATGGTTTTTTTATTTTGAGTTGATGTTTTTGTTTGATCATGGCGATCTGAATGCTTCACCTGCATAGCGGACATTTCCAAGTTCCTCTTCAATGCGCAGAAGCTGTGCACCATTTTTGAAAGGCATAAACTTAGTATCACGAATTTAACGCAGACTTTTCACAAGCTAGTAATTGTGGCATACCGCTAACTTCATCATCATATGTTTCAATAACCTCAAGGTCATTCATCCAAAGGACTCGATATTAACGTGTAATTATTACATTTTTCTTAATCAACTAAATGACATTTTTACCTTTAATATAGAGGGAGTAAATGGATTTTTCCATTTCATTATTAAGGGTAAATTGAAAAGTAGACAATGTCTTTTGAAAGTGGACACTTATTTTGGGATAAAATAAGTAGAAATATGGATACTTATTCAGGTCCTTTGGATAAATGACCTTAAATAAGTTTTTAATTAGGAGCATGACTATCTAAATTTCTTTTAGCTCAATGACCATCCGACCTACCCCTGGTTCAAAACAGTCTGCTCCCCTAACAACTTAGAAATACGCTAGAGGGTCATTTTGCAAAACAAGCTGGTCGATATGGTCATTGAGCTAAATAGCCTCATTTCTAAAATTGTGCGTCTACATTTATTTTGGGATGGATGGAGTATATAGAAACGCATACCTGGTTATACTTGGCCAATCGCTCACTTCGGCAAGGAGCACCCGTCTTGATCTAAACAAGTGAAAACAAACAAAGGTTAACCGAAACTAGAATGTTGGAAAACTAGAGTAGATATAAAAGATGAAGTTAAATATGAAACCTGTCCGCTAGCCAAACCAACTGAAAGATCTGCAATGAAGTTATCCTCTGTTTCACCACTACGGTGGCTAACCATCACACCCCATCCCGCAGCTTTTGAGTCAAGTGCAGCTTGAATAGATTCAGTTACTGTACCTATCTGGTTAACCTGGAACAATTGAAGAGCCATTGTCAAGCAAAATAATCTGATTTCATTGTGATGCCTCCCAGCGTTATTGTATCTACAAATGTGGTGCTACTTGCAACCAACATACTTTCATGCATCTCAACTAATCCCATGGGGCTTTGAAGATAACAATGAGGACAATCCCCAGTGGCCCTGAGGAGACTCAAACCGATGACCTATGGGGAGGAGGCCTAGACTTTACTTGCCACGCATTGTTTCATGCAGAATATTAGGTATGAATTGATGAAGTCGGAACTAGTTTTTAGAAGAGTTACCATGCTACAAGAGAAAATATGACATCATTCAATCAAATAATCATAGTCGATTGTTTTTAGACTAGAATCATTGAACTCAAGGGTTACAGGTTTTCTAATTGTTTCCTGCCCTGTGCTTTCTCGTCTGTCCTTCGAATCGATAGCATAATCAGTCTAGTACAAATTGAGAAATCTGTCCCTAGATAATAACTACTAGTTCAGGGTTCTTGTAGTAATATAGGAACTCCATTCCAAAAAAATTGCCAAACAGATGTTTAAATGTTGTTTAAAGTTTTTCTACCATAAATCTAATACTAGTGGCAGTGGTACTTCTATTGGATTGGAGATGGGATATTAAGAGTTGTTTACTAATTATTGACCGCCTCTTACTGAGTAAGGAAGGACAGGCTCTCTAATTCGGTCAGCGCTTACACAGACCGAACCTCTTACCCAGTTAGCAGTAGCACTTACCCACTTTGTGTTGGTACACGGCCCCTAAGTATTATTAGATGCTGTCAAGATCAGAACTATAAGCATGGGGAAAGAGAAACATAACTTGGTTTATGACAATATAAGTAATTCTTGTACTTGCCTTCAGTAGCAGAGCATTGCAGGCCTTTTTCTGAATACCTTCAGCGATCCTCTTTGGATTTGTGACCAACAAGTCATCCCCAACCAGTTGGATGTCAACAGAAGACTGTAGTGAAGTCCACGAGGTCCAATCATCTTGGTCAAAGGGGTCTTCAATTGAAACTATTGGAAAATCTCTAACAAATTCTCTATATAAATCACCAAGACTTGGAGCTGAGAGAACATGAGCTCCATCATTTGGCTGTTTCTTGAAATTGAGATCATATTTGCCATCTTTTGTTAAGAACTCAGAAGCGGCAACATCCATTCCTATTTTTATCTGCACAATTTCCTTCTCTAAGCCAAGGAGTGTGATAGAAAGGATACGTCGTAATGGAAGAAGAAAGAGGTTACAAATCATTTACCTTGCCAGTATAACCAGCCTTTTCAATTGCATCAATGAGCAACACAAGTCCTTCCCTATTATCCTGGACATTGGGAGCAAATCCACCTTCATCTCCAACATTGCATGCATCTTGTCCATACTTTGCTTTGATGATTCCCTTCAGAGTGTGATAAACTGTATTGACATGTTAGAAAGTTCTTGACCAGAAATACATATAAAAGTACCGAACATTTGACTTGGAACTTTTACAAGGGTATCAACTTAATAGACACTACCCCCATGATATATGAAGTTATGAAACTGCAATGAGAAGTGATCTTGAAATATGTGGGAAATGTGCTAACCTTCACTACCCATTCGCAGAGCCTCAGCAAATGAAGTTGCACCCACTGGAAGAATCATGAATTCTTGCATGGCTAGATTATTTCCAGCATGGCTACCTCCATTTATCACATTGAATGCTGGAACTGGCATAACAAGCTCTTTCGTTCCTGAAATCTCCTGAATGTGCTTGTACAGGGGTATACCTTTCGCTCCTGCACCAGCTCTACATACACTAAGGGATACTCCAAGTATTGCATTAGCTCCAAGTTTAGACTTATTTGGAGTTCCATCAATCTCTAGCATGATCGCATCAAAGTCAGCTTGATTCCTTGATTTAGAAAAGAGGGAGTAAGTGTATGCCCATTTACAAACATAAGATAATATGCACTTGCAAACACATACTAACAAACCAGCGACTGACATGATCACAATTCTATTATACAAGATTATTTTCCATCTTTCTGCTAGATAGCTTCATATCATAATTACATACCACCCCTCAGACTTTAATCACTAAAACCACTTAGGGATAGAAGATTAGCAAAAAGAGCATTCTTAGACCTACCACTAGATAGTAGAAATGCCGAAGAATGAGGTTGCTTCTACAAGATTGAGGCCTTAATCTCCTTACAGTGTTTGATGTTGAGAATCAGTATGGGACAAATGGAATCATATGAATGTAGCGAGTTATTTCACTAAAGAACACTACGAATGTACCACCATCGATTTTGTGTGCATCAGTAAGCAAATGGCATCATCTTGATTCTCTTCAGGTAGCAAATTCCTTGGCACCTAAACTATTTGTTTCAGTTTATGTTCCTTTTATCTTTTACTCGATAACTTTGCATGTACTCAAGGCTTAGAAAGAACTCATCAACTCTGTAGACAACGGCAACACACACACAGTGCAATAAGTAAGCCTAAACAGCTAGATTCATGGAACTTCAATGCTCACAGCTCTAGGAGAAGTGAGCAAGGTTTTTAAGCACAGAATGCATCCGCAAACTGAATTTCAACACTCAGATCATTAAGCCACGTTTTACGTACACAGATAATACGATTCTATTACAAGCGATAATACATTTGCCTAATAGTGTCTCTATTCCTAAAACTCGATACAAATGTTCTGTGTTAACAGAAAGGAAGCATAGCTAGGGTTAAACATACAACCTAACATCATAACTGATCACATAATTTACAGAAATCAGAAATCGCGTTTAAGATCTATGCGTGAAGTATATAAGAAGAAACTCTCACCTGACATCAACACCGACAAGCTTCGGTCCCAATATTTCATTGATATTCTTAACAGCAGTAAGAACACCTTTCCCACCGTAGACGTTCTTATCACCATCTCTAAGCTCCAACGCCTCGTAAATTCCGGTGGATGCTCCACTCGGAACAGCAGATCGGTAAAGTTCATCAGTAACAAGATCAACCTCCACCGTCGGATTTCCCCTACTGTCAATGATCTGCCTCGCCTTCACTGATTTCACAGTCGACGATTTCGTCGAAGAAACGGACGGAGACTGAGCAACCGCAATGGAGCTCCGAACAACCAATGGCGCCCGAGTTTTTCGGTATGTTGTCGGAAGGTTAACAAGTGGAGTTGTTGTTGACGATAATGAGGGTTTGGTAGAGAAGAAAGGCTTTGAAAGCAAGGTGGTGGAAGGTGCCAAAGCCATTGTAAGAAGAAGGAAGTTTAGAATGTTAGAGAGAGGTAAGGAATTGAAGAAATCGTATATGGATGAAGCGTATATCAATGGAGGAAGAATGGAGAAGTCCGCCGTTGGAGGCGGCGAAAGCAGAGTTGTTTTTATAACGGCTTTTGGTAGTAGGTGGAGGCGACGATGTGGGGTCTGAAAAGCCAAAAAGCGTGCTGACTCCAGCTGAATATATGCACATATATATACACACATATATATACATACATACATAATATGTATATATATATATGTATGTATATATTTACATGTAACTGAATCTCTAACAAATTATTTAACGGATTTTTGTTGTAACAAATTTTTTATAAAATTGATGAAAAAGAAAATAATTTTTTTAAATTTATATAGATCTTTAAAAATGATTGTGTAGAAAAAAAGAAAATGAACTTTTATTTTTTATTAATGAGAATCTTTAAAATTAAATATTTAATATATATATATATATATATATATATTTTTTATGAATTATATTGAATATTTTAATAATATAATTAATATTATAATTTTTAAAATGAATAAAACTATTGAAGATGAAAGTGATTTTTTTTAAGATTTTGACTTTTGATTCTCTATTTTGGAAAATTTATTGGAGATGCTATAAAAACTTACTTATATACAAACTAATTGTCTTTTGAGATTTTAAATTTTAATTTTTTATTTTGAAAAATCTGTCAAACATGCTCTAATAATTTATTTATATACAAATTACAAACTAAAGGGTCGTTTTCTCAATGCTTACTCAATAAACGTTTATTAGTAAGAGTTAATACTTTAACTTAACTTACGAAGTAAGATTTTGGCATATAAAAACGTCATCACATGCAATAATTTAACCAATAACCGTTTATCAGGTAAAAGCCATTACTTTCATTTGTCAAGTAAGATTCTCGATTTTTGTCATGTTCAACCAGGTATTTAATCTCAAACATGAGACAGTGGGTTTTGTCATGTCCTGTCATGTCCTGTCCGATGTACCAAATGCAACCTTAATAATCTTTGATCTAGTCGTATATGAGTCTTTTAGCCTCTCACGACATTAGGGCACCAAATTTTAAAAAAAAAAAATGTTTTATTTATTTGTTACATTTTATTATATATTTAAAAAAACTAATTTATAATTTATATACACTTAAAGATCAATCAATATCATTCACTTGAATTAATATTAGTTGATTGAGATTAAATACCTGGTTAATAAAATTTGAAAAGAATCAATAAATATAGTATAAATATTAAATTAATGATAATCAAATATTTGTTTTTCATATATAATTTGTGTAATTGATAATTAATTGTACGAGGGTAAAATAAAATAAAATAATAATCTACCATTTAAATTAAACGTGCAAACTGGTCAAGTTGACTTGCCATTGTCCGTACGAGTTTCATGCGATTTTGGTCGCACCCTTTAATACATGTTGTAAATCATTTCTCTCGGAAGTTGATCATCTTTGTATTGATGGATAAGCAGTAGCGGAACACATGTCTTTTAACTTGGGTGGTCATACTTAAGAAGAAGCGGAAAAAATATATCTTTAACATGGTGGAGGAAGTTTTACCTATCTAAAAGATAAAAAATATAGTAGGGGCCCCGGCCCCCAAAGGCCTTTATAGGCTCTGCCCCTGGGGGGGTAAGGAATGAGAATGATGATGAAAATTGTGGTTTGGTTTGGTTTGGTTTGGTTTGGGTTGATATAATATAATTGTGCCTATTACTACTGGAAACCCATTACTTTCCATGCCCGACTAAATTGGGAGGAATGGAAATTTTATTCCTGCTCAATACTCTTTTACCATATGTTGCTCAATCTCTTAATGTTGAACGAAACGTATTTTCTTTTTTTCACATTCGATGGAACATATTTTCTATTTCAAGTTGGACGCTATATATATATATATATATATATATATATATATATTTGTATTAAAAATACTATATAAAACGATTTTATATTGGTTTAACCAAACAACATCAATACACTGCTCATTACCATTCCCGTTCTTCTACATTTTCATTTCCATTTTCATTCTCAATCCTTAAAATGAACTAAACACCTTAATTTTGAAAATATCTCCTCTCTCATTCAATATAGAGAAAGTTTTAGCGCTCGTGCATATTTGGCCTCTGCGCAAACTAGGATTTATCTGTATTAAGTAATATTTTGGATATTCTACTAAGCAAGAAAATATCTAAAATTAGAGGCATGTCTTCGAGCGATGGTGCAAGTTCGGATGTTTGAAATTTCTGTGCGACATCAATGCCAACTCAACAATTCAATTTACATTATTTATTTATTTTTAACTGTTGCTAGACAGGGTTTTTCTTATTTGGTCTGCTCCTTATAGATGTTATGGTGTTTTTATTTTGTGATGTTGTTAAAGATTTCTTGTAACCACAAGAGTGGTGTCTGATTGGTTTTAAGTTTGGACTCCAAAAGTCAAAAGTGCAAGAAGGTCTCAGATTCAAATCCAATGAGGAATAAAAATCCTCGTGTGGCCACGAAAGTTCAAATACGGTGACTCCAAGCTACCGGCAAAGCAAGTGGTTATCTTGAGATTAGTCAACTCATATAACGGGTTGGGTATGCAGGTTAATATAAAAACCTCTTTTTTTTTGGTAAATAAAATCTTGTTGCCTTTAAAAAAATATTAATTATTTATTTTTAATTGTAGATTCAATTTTATAAAAGACACTTAAACTAAAAGCTTCTATGTAAATTGATGAATTTGATCAGTTCAACGACAAAATAAAAATAATCTTATTAATCAAAATCAATATTAAGAATTACTTGTTTCAAAATAACTAAAAACAAATCACTGTTTATTAATTTACTAATCTTATCTCATTTTCCTAATTTTCATTCCACCTATTTTGGTGGGACCATTCCAGTCTAATGTCACACCTAACATGAGACAACAAGTTTTTGTTATGTCTTGTCCTGCGTACTAAACGTAAAACCACCAGACCAGGGGCGGACCCACTCTATTGGGTACGGTGGCACAGGCCACCATTTTGTTCCTCCGTAGTAGTGTAATGAAATATGAATTATAGGGTCGTGAAAGGTATTACCGTATCACTTTGTTCTGTATAACCTTACATATTTAGAAACTACAATGGTGTCACAAGTTTCCCTTGATAGAGTTGGTTTGCATGACTTTTCTCCCACCCCAGACCCAAGTTTGAATCCCATTTGTGTCAATTTCCTTAGTTTTTAGCTTCTAATTTCAGATTTATTATGTTTCTGGAAAGATTTGCAATAAAAGCCTCGAACACAGGACCTCACATATGAAAAACAAAAAACTAATCAATAAACCAATTATGATCTTGTGAAAAATATCCATATCCTTGTTTTGTATAGTCAAATGATGCCACCAGACAAGGGTAATGCACAAACCCAAACCAGCCAAATGTATCTCACTCAAAGGGCCTCTAACGTGTGGGATTTATGCAGACTTGTTCTCTACCTTAACTAAGGGGTTGTTTGTTTACCTCTTAATAGTTCCATTAAGAGACAACCTTTGGATCGTTAAGAGGTGAATCTTGTTTAGTAAAAAAAAAGTATGTCTCTTAATGTTTCTAAAACCTCCTGAATGATTTTGTATCATGGATCTCCCTTAACCATTAAGAGCCCTAATTTCATTGTAACAATTACCAACAAATATATTTCATTTTGCACTATATCATGAGAACCTCTTAATCATTCTGCACCAAACCATTCAGCAATTGCCTAACAACCCCTAAGGAAAGGAGCAACTCGAGAAGGGACACGAGTGTGTTTGTTATATCAGTTAAAACTATAGTACGTTATGAAACCGCTAAACTCTTATCATAATGAACCCAAAAGAAAACCAGAATTGCAATCCGAAAGTCGACCAAGGATGGAAGCATAAGAAGAGAGGAGATCAACAGAAGCAAATTGGAATTAATCTTGTTTTGTGTCTGAAGTGAAGATGAAATCTAAGACAAAATAAGGATATGTTTCATTTAAGAAAGGTGCATCCAAGAAAGAGAAAGATGTATACCACCAGTGAAGTCAAGAGCTCCAAGGTCCAAGTTGGTTGCAAAAGGGCTGCAGGAATTATGGGTACCAGACAAGAACCACAAATCCACCCAACCACAAGGGATCCAAATCTGTAATCAAAATAATGGTTTAAATCAATTATTACTTAATATAAAACATCATAAAACAAGGTTTTAATGGCGTGTAAGGTCAAGCCTCAAGCCTTAGGAGGCACAACGAGGCCATGATGTTTTTCAAGCCGTGACTTATGGTAGCAAATCTGTATATAATTAAATGAGAACTACAAACAGATTACAAACCTGTGAGAACTGATCTAAAAAAAATTACATGATTGATTTCATCAAATGTTATGATTTAAGGTATGTTTCACATATGTTTGTGTTCACATCGTGAAAAAATTACATGTGTATACACGTTTAAAAGTTTCACATTGTGAACAAGTACATGTGAAACTTACACATTATGAAACAAATATATGTGCAACAATACCTTAAATCTTAGTGTTATGAAATACACATGATGTAAAAGAATATTTTTAGATCGGTTCTCACATGTTTGTAACCTTTTTGTGGTTCTGACAAGATTATCCCCCTGTTTTATGCTATTACGAGTCAATGGTATTGAACAATTTAAATTACGGTATATACTAAAAACTAAAACGTATGACACCAAAAAGGTAATTTAATTAAAAAATCTAAAAAGACCTTACAAAAACTGCACCGGGCCATGGCATGCCATGAGGGTTCACTTGGCGTCCGAAACAAGCCTCTTAGAGCAGTGATTATAGTATTGGAAATGTAAAATGAAAGGTTTGATGTCGATGTTTGTGAGTATGGAATTGGCGAGGCGGGTCTAAGCAAACCCCAGCCCACACTATATGCTAAGCTAAGTAAACCTCCCTACCAATTTCATACCAACACATGTTCAACATAAAACTTCTCTTTTGACATTTCCAATGCTATGAGTTGATCCAAAAAGAGGTTCATACAGTAACAGTCGAATGAAACTGATTTAGTATACAAGGATATACGCCACCCTGTGGAGCGCCTCAACCTTACAGGTCCCACAGTCATCATGGGGGAGGTAAGTCGCGCAGATCCCAGACGGCAAATTGTGGTGCTCAGGCTCAAACCCGAGACCTCACACGTATGGGTTACACCCACACATTTGCCGCTGCGAGCCTGCGACATATCATGGGGATCGTCCATATTAATGTTAGATTGTTGATTTTGACAAACAATGATGACAGTTATCCGGTTTGATATACAACATGTGAAAGCGCGATATGGATTTCGTAAGTTGGGTGACAGAACATAGATGTAGGATGCCGAATTACTAAAATATAGCATGTGCTTGTAAATCAATATTTTTCGAGTACTTAAATTTAGACACAAAAAGGATGTAAGGTAACATAATTATTTAAATTTATCTTTTTTATTTAAATTTCATTTTTTTATCATTCATAAACAAATTTCATTTATGAAGAATCCTAAAATCAAGAAATAAAGAAAGAAACCAAGGGTTTGTGGGTCTTTGTTTATGAACTCACCCGATAACAGAAGCCCTTGCTATGCTCTTTGACTTGTCATTGAGGAAGTAGATGCAAGCAAACAAAGACAGGGCTACCTGTATCATATAAGAGATCAAATAGAGTTAAAGATGCCAAACACAAAATCAAGATATAAATGGCATCTACAACTGCAAACACAATAAGGTATACTCTCCCTCCTACAAAACTTAAAATATTTGATTTTTAAGAAAGATGCCAAAATTAAATTACTTATTTTCTCATCCTCATAGTTACAAATTGTTATGTTGGTTTCTAAGGGTGCATTTGGTAGGCAGACTGGACAAGACTGGACATGACCTGACATGATTGGACATGACATGACATCATAGGGTAGGACCAGGCACGCCAGAACATGACCAGGCAAGACAGGACTAGACTAGACGGGACTAGAGATGACAGGGCAGGACTAGACATGACAGGTGAGAGTGAGATGGAGTATTGTGCAGGGTTTTAGGGTTTTAATTTATTTTAATTTGACACGGTAGTTTAGTAATTTACCAATCTTGTCTCATCTCCATGATTTTTGTTCCACCGATTTTGGTGGGACAAAAAAATTGCATTTTTGTCTACTCGGGTCATGTCGTGTCCCAATCTAATGTTGCACCAAACGTGTGATGACAAGTTTTTGTACTATAATTTCCCGTCCTGACCCAAATACTACTCGCATAGAATAAGCACTACAAGAAAATCAAAAGGAAAAGCTAATGCAGAGCAGCAAACCTGGAATGCAGGACCACCATCGGCAGAGTTCATCACACTCCAGACTGCCATAAACGAAAACAGAAACAATCTTCTAAGGATAATGATATTGGGAGGAAGTTCCACAAAACTAAGTAAGTTCTGAACCCAAGGTGGAGACTCCTCTACTTTCTTCTTTAGCCTTGTTTTTAAGTTGATTTTTGTTTTTTTTCTGTTCTGGAAGCTTGTCATAAGTATCTTCTCAAAAGCCGCTTCTATTGACTCCGCACTCCTCTCATGACCGGCATACTGATCTAAAAGAAAGTTGCGAGAACTCCAGACTTCATCTTCAGAAGCATCAGTAGTTATACCAAGGCGCTTGTAAGGATCCCAAACATTACTGCGAGGGAATTTTGGGATGTTACCTAAAAGAACAAAAAAAAAAAAAAAGGAATTATCAGAAAATGTTGTTGATCAAGAAAATTGATATTGCAGTATTTTCTTTCTGAAATTGGTATACTCATTTTGAACACCAAATTTCGTAAACCATGCAATTTTCTTGTTCTATCTTTAGTTGCACAGATCGCAATAGCCTAAAATAGCTATTTATGCTCAAGCTTTACAACTTCTACCTCATTTTTTTTAGGATGACCAACTTAGAATTTAATTTTGCTCTAATAGAAGATTTTATTGGAGGGCAGGGGTGTTAGATCCTAAAGAAATTTTAGGGGTTGTTTGGTTCATGCAGGGGAATGAAAATGAGAATGAATTTTCATTCCCCCCAATTTGACCTGGAATGAAAATTTGGGCTTATGGGGGAATGGACCCATTATCTTATATAAAACCAAACAGTTTCTTTTATATTCAATCCCATTAATGACTACTTAATGCCTCTAAGCAAACAACCCCTTATTTTTTATGAATGGAAAAGGACTTCTAACTAAAGCACCAATTTAATCTCCTGTAGACAGTTTGTAGTATGCCTTAGCCAAAAACGGATCCAGATTCCAGGTGACATTGCTGCAACAGAAATGTCAATACTTGCACCTTCCTCTTTGTCCAACTAGATAAGTGAGAAACTCAACCATGCTGGAGGTAAGGACAGACTTTGGCATCGGGCCATTTGACTAAAATAGTCTCACTAGCATTCAGGAGTAACTTATCTCCATTGGTAAGGACACCAAATTCTTCAGTCAAAAAGGAAAATCTGTATGTTCATGTAATTTCAAATGTGGGATCAGGATGCATGCAAAAAGAAGAGATGCACTCTTGGTAAACCTGCTAATTGTCCTGATTATGACATCTAAAAAACTTGTGCTCTTTTAATGATTGAAAGATCAAGCTTCAAGCTGAAAGTTATATTTGCATAGGCTGTGGATAAAAAATACATAGGTGCAAGCTCTAATCTGATTCCCTAGTCTAACCGAGCATAGTTACTTCTGAATAAAACAAAACATAAGCCTCACCTAGTACGGAATTTATCATCCGAGGCCTCAAAGTAATTAAGGAGAAGATGGGATCCCTTAAAAGCTTCACAAGAGGAGCCAAACAGAATCATTGCCTAGAAAGGGTGTAGTTTACTTAGGGTCCGTTTGGTACGTGGGCAGGATGGGTGACGGGACAAATCAGAAACTTGTAGTCCCATGTTTGGTGCGGCATTAAGACCAAGACAGGACTGAGTGGGATAGCGATGCAAATTTTTTGTCCCACCAAAACAGGTGGGAAAAAATATGGAGATGGGATAAGGTTGGTAAATTACTAAACCACCCATGTCAAATTAAAGTGATCGAACGATTGGAGCAGAGTAGGATTGCTTTGGAGATGTAAGGCGTTCACATTAGCTGCTCTAAGACCGAATACTTGCGGTACAATTTCAGTGAGAGTGTATAGGTGAGGAGGTAGAAGTTAACATTGGGGGAAATGGATACCCCAAACGATAGTTTTAGGTATCTAAGCTCCATGATTCAGAAAGGGGGTCAGGACGACCATCACATAACACATTGAATAAAGAAGGCCTGGCTAAAGTGGAGGGCTACCACAGGGTGTTATGTGACAAGAAGGTCCCACTCAAACTAAAGCTGAAAGGCAATTTTTACAAGGTAGCCATCAGAAATTTATGTTGTATGGGAAAGGGTGTTGGGCAATAAGGAAGGCCCATAAGAGGAAGATGGGAAGTTGCAAAATGAGAATGCTTAGATGGACATGTAGTAAAACCATGTTTTGCTACCACAGGGTGTTATGTGACAAGAAGGTCCCACTCAAACTAAAGCTGAAAGGCAATTTTTACAAGGTAGCCATCAGAAAGTTATGTTGTATGGGAAAGGGTGTTGGGTAATAAGGAAGGCCCATAAGAGGAAGATGGGAAGTTGCAAAATGAGAATGCTTAGATGGACATGTAGTAAAACCATGTTTGGCAGGATACCGAAAGGCGCGTACAAGGCAGTGTTGGGAGTGGCACCATCCTAGATAAGTTGAGAGATGGAAGATTGTGGTGGTTTGGTCATATTCGTAGGAGATAGATGGCGGTTCACCAAGGAGGGTGCTAAGTTTCACGGTCGAGGGGGAAGGATATGCCGAGGAGGACGTGTGATAAGCAACTTAGATTAGACATGGCAGCTTTAGGCATTTTGAGGACATGAGCTTTGATATGAGCATTTGGAGAGGCAAGACTAGGATAGCAGACGAGGGTGGGAAAATAAACAGGAGGAAGGTCGTAGGGGTAGAGGTTGCAAAGGCGATAGGGTTAGTGAGTCAGTAGTTAGGTTACCAAAACCCTACGTTAGACTAGGAGTGTGTACTTTCCACACCTTGGTTATGTTTCTCATGTACTTGCCTCTATTTATATTGTTGTTGGCTTGTACTCATATCTAGTCAAATTATAGCACATTTGTGTTTCCTTATTTCTATTGATATTGATTACTCATATCCAACTTTTCAATGTTTTGTATATATGTTTATCTACCTTTCTCACACTTTGCACTAGCCAGGGGTCTTCACGAAAACAACCGCTCTACTCTCTAGGGTGTAGGCCGGGTCTGCGTACGGTACAGCGCCCCCCCCCCCCCCCAAATAGAACCCAATTCTGGGTGGGATTTATTGGGCTTGTTTGGTTTGTTTAAAACCCTAAAACCTTGCACAATTCTTTCACCCACCTACCTCACTCTCACCCGTTTAGTCCTGTCTACGTACCAAGCACACCCTTAAGGGAAACAATGAAGGTTGATTAACTGACATCAATAGTACACTGATGCAGCTTGATTACTTATACTTGAATTTTTTTTTTCCAATGAGATTAGGCGGTCGATGGTCAGATTAGAGCTGGTGTGAAGATTTTTTGCAAGTACCTTAAACCACCATGAAACTTATTAATGGAACAACTGACTAACTTCCGTAAGAATTATTACTAATTTTTCCCAAGTAATGCAATGCTGGTAAAACTTAGAAAATTAGTTTTTTCATTCATAAGCTTATAAATTTTCTTAAGTAGTACATCAGGCCATATCTTCATGCCACTTCCAGTTATCTCTCAGCTAAGACTTCTACACCTTATGATTCGACATGCCTTCACCTATCACTCAACAAACTCTAAAACTTGCTTCTTTCAAATAACTTGCAAGTACAATGCCCACAAGGTATATCAGGGGAGTAGCCATGTGATGGTCAATATACCGAGGTAAAAGTGTCCCAATTAACTCTACAATGAGTGCATTTCACATTTGCACATCTACAAATGATTTTCCACGCATAAGACATATAAAGAGTTCTATAGTTTATGACAACCAATCTTCAAACTGCAGTAAAATAAATGAATGGAAATCAAACACTTAACAGGCCACCAAGAAGCACAAGAACATGTGTGCATTCAACAACTTTACACAAATCACATAAGCATCCAGTGGAAAATCAAGAATAGTTAATGTATATACGTTCACTTTCATGACAATAGGAAACAAATTAACGCTCAATCCATAAAATCAATAAATTAGGTTAAATTTTTTGTTAAGCGAAAATTTTAGGTACCCCCAAACGTTGCATCAGCAGCAGCACATCTAGGGCTCCTCCTAACTACCAACGCGCATAGTCTCGACTTCCTTAAATTCCCATCAACTGAACTGGACGAACGAAAACACACGAATTAGGAAGGTAACAATTATCTAGAAGCATACCAATTCTCATCACAAATCATCAAATCATAATCATTCTAAGTACACACACACCAAAAAAAATGACATCAGAATTTCAATTTACCAAACATCCAACAATCTAATCATGAACTTCGTAAATTTACACGTAGATAAGGCGTTTAAAACACTTACAGGTTCTTGCCGAGAAAAGGAGATGAGACAATTGAGTTTGAAAGAAGAAGAGACGCCATGATCCACGAACCCTAGATTTTGGTTGGATTTGTTGCTACGAAGAATAAGAAACCATAGAAGAGCCGACACCGGACCTCGTTACCTATACCTGTAACAAAGAGGAAGAGTTTTTTCGCTAAGCTTTTGGTTTATTTGGATAATTGGATTGAATAATGAATATGCATGACGTTCACGACCATACACTTTTACCCCCTATACTTTTTCTATTTACAATAACGGTCCTTAGTTATAAATTCTAGAGTAAACTACAGATTTGGTCCCTGTGGTTTATCAAAAACAATACTTTTCATCCCTATGGTTTTGAAATTACAAGATGATCATCATAGTTTATGAAAACGTCCGAATTTGATCACTTCTTCTAAGACTTTAAATTTTTTCTTTAAATTAAAGGAATTTTAGCTCTTTTATCTTTTATCCAATTAAAAATGATGTTATCTTTCTTTTTTTGATTAACCTGGATATCCAACCCGCTATGCGAGTTGACTAATCTCAGGACGATCATCTGCTTTACAGATAGCTCGGAGTCACCGCATTTAAATCTCCATGGCCACAAGCAGATTTTTATTCCTCCTTGGATTTGAACCTGAGACCTTTTGGTACTTTTGATCTTTGGAGTCAAGCTCAAATCAATCAGGCACCACACTTGTGGTTAGATGTTATCTTTTTGGTACCTATGTTTTTTGATTGGGTACAATACAAAAAAATTAATAAAAAAAACGAAAATGTTTATCATTTAAATGAATTTTTTAGTTGTCGTTAAAGGGAGGGACCAAATTCGATTGTTTTTTAAACCACGATGGTCATCTTACAATTTCAAACATGTAGGAACGAAAAGTGCTACTTTTTCCAAACCATAGGGACCAAACTTGTAGTTTACTCTAAATTCTAATTTCACTTATGCAATTTTACCCCCTAAACTTTGATTTATTTCCAATATTGGTCCTTATGAATTATGATTTTACTTTGGAGCCAATGAATACTCGAATGCATTGTAGATAGAAAACGTCAGGGTCTCATTTTGGAACAAATTTGCGGGTTTAAAACTTCAACTAACATAACATCAGAATTGTGGACAGTTCAGAAAAAATTATTGGAACTGTTATATCTTTCTATAAGATGAAGCATAGAAAACAAGATTTGACAAGTTTACTTTGATTGGGACTTATCTAGAATAACTGAACACTCTGACGTTTAAGTTATGCGTTTATAAATCCTCCAATGAAATACCAAATTTTTGAAAGTCATTTGAGTAATTTTAATCACAGCCATGTTATTTAATAATACAAGAGTTTAAGGACAAAAAAAAAAGAAAATCAAACAAAACTAAAATATTTCACTTGAAGATAATGTTTTAAGGGATAAGATGTACACAGATTTTTCATCAAGCTCTTCTGGTAAAAAGACTGTTTTTGAAAAGACGCTTGCTTGCGCCACATACAAGATGGAAATCGTAAGTGGATTGAATAATTATAACAGTGTAAAATCAAAGAAAATTACTTTCAAATCTCAGTTGTGTTACATTTAAGAATATAAGTTTCTATTTGTGCTTTTCTTGCATTTTGGAATCATGGTTTTTGTTTGAAAATTATTTTAACCGTCATTTGATCTATGGGTTAAAATGGCTAATTATATGTAACACCCAACTTTTGGTAAAAGGAACCTCGAGATTTCCAAAAGTATTGGATTAAGTTCTAAGTTAAAGGATTGTTTGTATGTGTTTTAAAAGAACTCAAGAGAGCAAGAAGGAGGAGTTGGATGAGTGTGATGCGGGTAGGGCCACATGTTAGTCGTCAAACCCACTGGATTGCTTAGAGAGCGGATCAATTTTGAGTCACAAATGCGGGAATCATGCGGGTTAGGCCGCATTAAGGTCACTCGCTTGTGTTTTGGCCTTAGACGTTGTAGTCTCAAGCTGAAGCATTCTGGAGGCGACCTTACAGTGTGAAACGCGGGTCATATACGGCCCAAGCCACATGAGACTCGCCCGTGCACCCTGAACTCCCTTCACCAACGACTGATTTCTTTTGGTTGCACACTAACCTCCTCTACTCACTTTTCTCTCCACGTCTACTCTCCCTCATTTCCCCCCTCACCTGCTTCCCTCCTCCATTACTCCTCTCATTTATTTTGCTATCAAGAGCTTCATTTAAAGTCAGATTTTAAAGATCCAAATGTTTCATTTATTGTTCTTATCATGAGTCGATATTTGGAGTTCAAGTTCAAGATCCCCACTCCATTTTCTAGGGTTTTACCATTTTCTAGGTTTTCTCTAAAAATCTAGTAGGTGAATGTAAAATGTTTTGTAAAAACTAGATACATGTCAAAATACCTATCTTACTTGTATTTCTAGCTTTATTTCAAAGTATCAACTAGGGGTGAGCAGCGGAATCGGGTACCCGTTTGTGGAACCGGAACCGCCTTGGAACCGCCGGTTCCGGAACCGGAACCGATATGAGTGGGTCCGGTTCCGGTTCCTAAAATACGGAACCGATTGAGAACGGTTCCGGTTCCGGTTCTCAGTTTTTCGAAACCGTTACCCGCCGGTTACCCGGAACCGGCGGTTGTTTTTCAATAAAAAAATAATTTTAATTTTTTTCAATACCAAATTTATATTAAGTTACATCTTCAAATGACGCGGTCATCTTCATTCTTCATCTACTTTCTAGTTCTACTAAACTGCAGTTCGTAGTATGTAATCGTTAAGTTTTGAACATTTACAATTATAGTATATAATCGTTAAACTTTGAACATTTTCTATTAGTCTATTATGATTTGTAATCGTTAAAACAATATTTGTAACCATTATTCCGTATAATTTGTATTCTTGTTTATTTAATTTAGTGTTTTGGCAATATTTTATTTTTATTTCTAAATAACAAAATTTTAATATTTTAGGAAGCGGGTACCCGGAACCGGAACCGGTTCCCGGCGGTTCCAGTTCCGGTTCCAAAAATTCAAGAACTGCTCTAACCGGTTCCGGTTCCGGTTCCAATATCTCAAGAACCGCCCCGGTTCCGGTTCCTATCAAAAAGGACGGGTACCCGCCTATGCTCACCCCTAGTATCAACTCATTATTTGTGATTTAGTCATATTCCCTTATTATTCGGGCTGTTCATGCGTAGTATGAAATTACTCCATTGAAGTTATCAACCTAAATGCTTTCCCGTAATCATACTTGTTTAAAAGAGATTTCATGAGGATTTGCTTAAATACTTGGAAAATGTTGTATGCCATAATATGAGGCATTATTGACCTAAATTTTAGGGTCACTGAATATTGGAATATATTATGACACGTGATGAGTATAGTGGTTGGACCATTAGTTTAATTCGAGATGTGAAGTATATGATATTACATAAATCGTGTGAATATTCCTACTTGTTATAGATGCTTGGTTGAACCTTTCGAGTATGCATTAGGAGTGTTGAGTCCGAAAGTGCTATCTTGGTGATACACCAGGATCTTCGCCGCTTAAGGTAATGCCTTAGAGATAGTCCTTAAGTGTGTCAGGTCTTGAGGTACTACATGTGGGAAAAAAAAAACCGAGCAAATGAACAATCCCACTTTTTGGTGGTTCTTAAAATCCATTTTTCAAGATTTTCTCAGACTTTATAATAATTTTCAAGATCTGTTTTTCTTTTCATTTATTGTATTTTTTTTACTAAACTATTATTCATTTTAATATGTTATTTTTCAGTATAATAGTTTTTTTTTTTAAATCAAACTTTTTTTTCCATTTTTTGTATTTTTTTTTTTTKTAAGATTTGTTTTGTTTTTTCAAAAAAAATTACAGAAAAAATTCATCTTTTGGTTTTTTTCAAGAGTTGTTCAATTTAAAAAGTTGTAAAGTAAAATATTGTTTGTTATATTTAATAAATTTTTAAAAAATGAAAGAAAATCATTTTTTTAATTAAAAAAGACATAAGCATATACTCGGAAATAATTCGAAAACAAACATATTATGGATGTAGTTTGTTTTAGTAACCTAGATATTCAATCCGCTATACGAGCCGACTAATCTTAGGGTGACCACTTTCTTTGCAGGTAAGTCGGAGTCACCACATTTGAACCTCCGAAACCACAATGAAATTTTTATTTCTCCTTAAATTTGAACCTGAAATCTTCAGGCACTTTTGACCTTTTTTTTGAAGTATATAATATTTATATACGGCAAATGCAACAAATAAACTCACACACCCTCCTTACCTATGGTGAGGTTTGAACCCCTGACCTTTGGAGCCCAAACTCAAACCAATCAAGTACAACCCTTGTGGTTTTTATGGATGTAGTTTTGAAAACAAACATATTATGGGGTGTAGTTTTTAGAACAAACATATTGTGGAAAATAGTATACAAAACAAACATTTTATAGAAAGTTGGTCCAAAAACAAGCATATTTTGGAAAGATGGTATGAGAACACAAGCATATTATGGAAAATAGTTTTAAAAACAAGCATATTTTGTTAAATTTCTCGTAACATTTACATGTTTTGAGCAAAACCAAGCATATAAACTCAAATATCTTATAAGCAAATAGTAAATTATTTAGAGTTTGCGTAGCTTAACCATCGTTGTCCTCGTCTCCTCTGTCGAATTGATCACATTTCCGTCCTTAACGAGGAATCAGGGATTTTTTCCTCTATTTATATGAGATATTTTAAATCAAATGTATTAAACATCACACTTAATTCATATGGTCCGTGTTTAAATCTCACACATATTTAAAATTATGTTTTTATGGAGTATTAAGTATTCACATGTGAACGAAATCACAACATCAGACAATAAACATAAAACCAAAAGAAATTTAACTTAATACAAAAAAACACTCGATGGTTTACGGCAATACCATGTGTTTATGCCCGCCCATATGAACCAAAACACATAGAATAATATTCTAGAAAACTACAACATCATATGTAACTAGGAATGGGAATAAGGCGGAGACCTTAATCTCCATTCCTGTCCTTAGTCCCCAATTTCCATCCCTGCTCGTTCCGTAATTTTTCAGGGAATCGTTGACCCTAATCGGGATGGGTACACCAGATTTCTCAACGTGACAGGTCTCATCCCGATACCTATGTAAAATACATGACATTTTGTTTTATAACTCATCTTATTATTTTGTCC